CCCTCCTTTACTCACTGTACCCACATGATTGCGCAGCCACACACAAGTCCAACTTAGTGGTTAAATTCGCAGATGACACCACCATCATAGGTTCAGATGACGATGAGTCTGCCTACAGAGACGAGGTTAACTTACTGGCGCAGTGGTGCCAGTTGAACAACCTCAGTCTCAACGCGAATAAGACCAAAGAGCTGATCATTGATTACAGGAGGAAAAGGAAACAGCACGCTGGCCTGGATATCGACTGGGCTGAAAGAGATAGGGTCAGCAGCCTCACATTTCTCGGGGTGCAGATCACTGAGGATCTCACCGGGACCGTGCACACACACCAGGCGGTGAAAAAGGCACAACGACGCCTGTTCTTCCTCAGGCAGCTGAAAAAGTTTGGTCTGAGTCCTCGCATCCTTCCTGCTTTCTACACGGTCGCCATAGAAAGCGTACTGTCAGGCTGCATCATCGCCTGGTATGAAAGCTGCACGCCCCTCAACCGCAAGGCGCTACATAGTGTAGTGCGGACAGCCCAAAAAATCATTCGAGGTGAGCTTCCCTCCCTCCAGGACATCTCTGGCATCCTTTCATGCACTTTAATGCACTTTTAACTGGACTGATAGTTTTTATGAATTATGTATTTACTGTATTTCCTGTCGATTTTATGATTGTATGATTGTGTTGCATTGCCAGGGAGCCTGCTTCTTAAGTTTTTCACTCCTCTTTGCAACTGCATGATGGATGTGACAATAAATTCTTGAATCTTGAAATCTTGAATCTTGTCTCAGATGAATGAGTTTGAATTCATTAAGACCGGTGAGGCAACAATCAGGTCTGTAAAAGAAAAGGCCCCTGACATCTGCTGTGACCCCTGATCTTTAACTGAGACATTAGCTATCTTGCTATGCTGCATTTCTTCCTTGAAAATGTACTAACTCGATTAACTTTCACCACGTCACAGCTGGTTACTGTTTGAAACCGTTTCTAATTCTAATTTCAGTCATTTTCATGATTAACAGAAGGTTCACTCCGAGAGCGCTCCACAGTTAACAGGTGCTGCTTGTTCTCCCCATTTAGGTAAAATGTTGTTTTACCTAATCTATGGAGTGCTCTCAGAGTGAACCTTCTGTTAATTATGAAAATGACCGAGAACAGGTCAGGACTAATAATTGTTTTAAATGGAAGTTTTGTGCACCCCAACTCTCTGTGCTTGTTCCGCTACTGTACTGCATTTAGCCCATGATTTAATCGCTGTTAGATAGTATATGGAGAGAAACCGTTTCTTTGGTTGCCAATTACTAAAATAGGAAAACGCGTCAATAAAGTAAAATGATTGAGGACTACTAATTGCAGTCAAAAAGGGACATGTCTTAGCACCCCCGCTGGCTACGCTACTGGTATGTGTACATAACAGCAAGCTACTGTAGGCCTATAATGATTAAAAAAAAAAAAAACAACCTTGTTACAGGTATTGGATGTGGTCGTTAATAAGCCATTCAAGAACAATCTGCAGAAGACCTACACAGCATGGCTCCTGGCTGGTAACCATGTCCTGACACCTTCTGGAAAAATTCAGAAACCTTCTGTCTGTCTGTCTTCTCTGCGAATGGATCCTGCAAGCTTGGGCAGACGTGTCCTTTGAGAGCATCATCAACGGGTTCAAGAAATGTTGCATCTCAAATCTGATGGATAGAAGCGAGGATGATTTGATGTGGGATTTGGGGATTTGTCTGGGCTCTGCCCTTTTCTCTCTGTAAAGCGTCTTTGTGACAGCCTGCCTGTGAAAAGCGCTATACAAATAAAATTGAATTGAATTGAATTGAATTGAATGTGGGAGGAGCCAGCGGCAGAGAGCGACAACGAGAGTGGGAGTGAGGAGGAGGAACCCAGTGATGCGGAGGATGCAGCTGAATGAATGTGGAAAAAACTGTTCGTGGTGTTTTTTGGATGTTAATGCTCTTACATTTTGCAGACTGTTCTGACACTGTTTGTCAAGCAAATGTGCGCCGTTTATTGCACAAATTTCATTGCACTGTTTTAATGGCATAGAACCGTGAAGTGCGTTCTGCGCTTTGCCTATTTGTGGGGCTATAGACGATTTTATGATTTTTTCCCCCATGATAAACACCAAAGATGTTGAAATGTACAAGGAAAACAATGAATTTTTTTTTTAGTGCAAATGAGATTTTGTTCAAATCAAAAGTATTTTTCCAAATAAGGGTCTTGAAAAAGAGGGGTCGTCTTATATTCGGGTCAATATGGTACATATGCACATAGCACTCTCAACCATATACACCCATACAAGAGATACCCTAACCTAAGGTTAACCTAACCTAAGCCCTACTCCTAACAAGGTCCAAGTGGTCACGTCACCAACAGTCCAAGAAAAATTAAGCTACAATGTAAGAAAGAGAGATTACCATATCAGAATCCTGACAGAGTATTTCAGCAACAGATGTCTCCTTAGTCTATTTTTAAAAACAAGTATAGATGGGGACATTTGCAAGTCTTTATCAAGATTGTTCCATACCTGTGGACTTTACAAACAATACTGAGGCTGGTACATTTGAGTTTCCGGTTCTTTCCCTTTATAAAATGCTTCTTCCTAGTCTGATATGAATGCAGAGGTGTAACTAAAATCAAATAAAATCAAATTTTTTTCTAAAGCACATTTAAAACAACTCACGTTGATCAAAGTGCTGTACAGAGCAAAGCAAATAGCTAAAATCAGAAGTACAATTAAGAAAACAGCAACAAAGACAGCAGGTAACACAGCACATAAACACAAACACAAAAAAAAAAAAAAAAAAAAAATAATTAGCCACAACCAGAGGATTCAAATGCTTGAGAAAACAAGTATGTTTTGAGCCTGGACTTAAATATGTCTATGGAAGGGGAAGATCTTATATGGAGGGGAATATTATTCCACAATCTGTGGGCTGTAGCAGCAAAGGCGCGGTCACCCTGGAGCTTGAGTTTAGATCGTGGAACAACTAGTAACCCCAAGTTAGCCAACCTAAGCGACCTAGATGTTGAATAAGGGGTTAAGAGGTCAGCGATATAGGTGGGGGCCAGCCCATTTAGGGCTTTATAAACAAATTGGAGCATTTTAAAATTTATTCAAAAACAAACCGACAGCCAGTGGAGAGAAGCTAAAACAGGAGTAATATGGTCCCTCTTCCTGGTTCCTGTTAAGAGCCTGGCTGCAGAGTTCTGGACCAGTTGGAGGCAAAATAGGGATGTCTTACAAAGAATTGCAATAGTCCAGCCGAGAGGATATGAAGGTGTGTCTGACTTTTTCAAGATTTTTGAAGGAGAGTAATGGTTTGATTTTGGAAAAATCTCCCCCAGAGAACACGACAGCTATTGTCCTTCCAGGTAAGCTACTCAGTGACTTTCTCCTACTCTCTAAAAAATGAAACAGTTCAACACAACTCCTGAGCACCATGGAAAAACCTAGTAAAGCTAATTTTGGGCGAAACTGAGTTAGAACCATTTTTGAACTTAGAAGGCTTTGCCTCATCACATATAGTAAAAATAATGACTGGTTCCCTGTATTTTGCCTTGGCAAAACCTAGCAAGTCATGATCAGTATTTAATTGTTTGTAATGCCAAAACCTGGCAAGTTGAATTTGTCAATTACGTAGCAGCATACGAAACACATTATCAGTCAGGTCTGCCCTCATGCAAAGCACTGGTCATGCAGGACAATCATGATCTGAATTCGTGACTCACATAATTCATGTGGTAATAACGACTAAATAATGGCTTCAAGAGGGAAGTAGATGGTGGAGTTAGCACTGGAATAACTGTCAAATGCCACAGTAAAGACATAATTGCAAGGTTTTTGTCCATCGTTTTGATTACTGTTATTATCCCCCGCTGCGCCTTTAGTGCAAAGCGGGGGATATAGATTTAGGCTCCGTCCATCCGTCCGTCCGTACGTACGAATTGGAATATCTTAAGAACCGTTGACTGGATTCTTTTCATATTTCATCTCTAGGTTCATCACAGTAAGAGAAAGTTGCCAGTCATGTTTGGTGACCTTGACCTTCATTTCAAGGTCACAAGGTGACTATAACATTTTTTTGACATTTTACCCTTGTCAGCGAGATATCTCAAGAAAGGTTCACTGGATTTTCTTCATATTTGGCACTAAGCTTCATCTGAATTCTGTTGAATGTTTATTGATAAGCAGTTTCTTTATTACTGTTTTTACTATTTATACACTGTGACATTCATGTCAAGGTCACAGTAAGTCTTGAAAATATTTTTGCGTTTCAACAATCACAGTGCAAAATATCAACGGATGTTCACTGGATCATGTTTCTGTTGACATTTAGTTTCATCTTAACCTATCACCATCACTTCATACCTCTTCATTTTTGAATTAATAATTTGCAGCGGGGGATGATGTTACCTTAGTGACAAAACCTGTTTTACATTTTTTGGATGGAAAAATCTGTCAAGTCATATTGCCATGGATACTATCACTTACTAGATTGTTCCATAATACTCACGAATTGTTTAAGGTGACAAGAGTTCGAAATAAATTCGTCAAATTTTGACCGGCTTCACAATAATTTGAAGTTACTTAACTCAGTTATGTGGAACGGTTTCACTTTTGTTTGCGCACTCAAGAAAAACAAATGAAAATGGGATTATTAAATGTCAGCTTTGCCATTTACATGCTCAAAACAAATAAAAACCCTTTGAGATGCAAAAGAAAACCACAATTTTTTTTCTTTCCATCCATCCATTCTCAATACCGCTTCTTTCTCACTAGGGTCGCAGGGGAGCTGGAGCCTATCCCAGCTGACTCTGAGAAAAAAGCAGGAACCCACCCTGAACAGCTCGTCGGTCCATCGCTGGGCGCACACACACATTACTTAAATTGCCTATGGGCAATTTAGCATCTCCAATTAGCCTGATATGCATGTCTTTGGACTTTGGGAGGAAACCGGAGTACCCAGAGGGAACCCACGCAAACACGCCAACTCCAAACAGAAAGGCTCCAAGTCGGATTCGAACCCACAACCTTCTTGGTGTGAGGCAGCTGTGCTAACCACTGTGCCATTAATTAATAAAAAGATACATGCTGTCATGTCCCAGATGATGAAACTCTTGTTTGGTTCATGTGGCTTTCTCCACTGTTAGTAAATCTCCAAAATATACTCATTAAAGGAGAAGACAGCACCTCGGCAAACAGCGGAAAGTAGAAGTCTTGATGTGTCTAAAATGCATAGTTTTATCATTTTAAATTTGGCAATGATCCAGTGCGACGCATTTTAAAACCGGCGAGTCTTCAAATCGGCGTCAATATCAGGGGCAGACATTTTTACTTGGGGAATCTAAGGCTGCGTTCGGAATGCACACTTGTCCACTCGCTCACTCACTCTCTTTATATTGTTTTCAATGTAGAACATTCACTACACAGTGCCATAGTGCGTTCAGAGGGCCTTCAATAAACTCACCCTTTACGGCTTGGCTGCCCGCAAGCTGTTTTTATTTAAGCTGGGCTGATTAACAATCAAAAAATTAATTTTAATCGAATGAGCGACCAAGACCAATACAAGAAATGATAATGAAAAGATGAATTCCCATTACCTACATTTATATAATTGATAAGGCATTGTAAATCCAAAACTTTCGCTGACCTTGCAGCATTTCTTTTTGCTGTCTTTAGGATTGTCACACAGCTGTGCAACTTACCTTCCAGCGCCCTTTAGCCGTGACAACATTCAGAATATAGAACGGATTCCCGCAGCCTCGCAAACTAATTTACGCAAATCTGTGCTGCTTAACGAGCAGCACAAGCGCTGAAATTATAAAGACATATTGATATTTTACGTCGTCATTTATGCGCAGAAGACGCCTCATAATTTTGTGGTGCAATGCATAACAATGCTATCAAAAGTAAATTAGACTGTCGTCAGTTTTTACCAATTAGTCTGAGCAACTGTGGCTAATCGGGAGATGTAAACTGTGAGAGGTTTAGGTTATTAAGCATTTAAAGGTGAGGTTTCCAAAGATCAAATTCAAAATCAGGTCCCCAAGTGAAAATGTCTGCCCCCGATATTGAAACCAAGTTGAAGACTCGCTGGTTTAAAAATGCATTGCACTGGATTATAATCAAATCAAAATATGCGTTTTAGACTCTTCGGGAATTCTACTTTCTGCTGAAATATATTTTTCCGAAGTGCGGTTTCCTCCTTTAATGAGCTTTTCCACTTAGCCTTTTCCATTCACAGTGCGTGCAACCTCTTACTTCCTGAAGGCAAACCAGTCCCTGTCCATCAAAGGCACATCAGTTGTCAATCTTATTAATGGGCTCCGACAGAGAAATGTCAGCACCAGACGACCAAGAAATCAACTTGCTGAGGAGTAGCACGGACACTGCAGCTTAAGCTGACAGCCGGCGAGAAACTAACTTCGGCTTTTTCATGCGGCTGGGAAGAGTTTGTTTTTAGGACTCCCTGAATTTAGATTGGCTCCGGGTGGCGGATGGTGTATGACCTCCCGGCATCTGGTGCATCGGCGTTAAAGCAGAAATCAACCACTGCGCAATGAAAAGCAGCCAAAAAGGTGAAAGTCGGGGCAAGAAAATGGCCTGGAGTACAAAAGCAGAGCCTATCGAGTCAAAAATGACTAGTAAAAAGGAAGGAGGGCATGTCTCCGTGTTCAGAAAAATAGCTTTCAACCGCACCAAGGCTTTCTCTCTGAGGCTTTCTGCTGCCATGGAAACCAGAGTGATCACAGAGTACCTCAGACTAGTGTGAGATCAACTCGCTGCTGCCAATACTGATCTATTACGTTTACATAAAGGATCTGTTATGGTGTTGAGACCAAATTAGTTAGATTTCTCTTACAAGAAAAGTTATTCCAGGGCCATGCCTTAGCTCAGCCTCTCTGATAAAAAAAGGAATTGCTTCATACCGTATTTCTATGAAAATAGACCCAATGGTATTTTTTGACACATTTACAACATAATGGGTGGAGCATAATTAGATTTTTTTTCTTTTTTCTTTTTTTTTGATCGTATTTGGCCTGCTGAAAACTGTACTGCACACATGTCGTGTTGTGGCGGAAATCATTTCCGTCCAGGAACGAGTTAATTTGTTCTACCCAATATATTGGGCAATAGAGTGTAAGATGCCCCTTCATTACTTTGACAGGACTTCTCACATTACTTACGTGACTTGAGTTGCCCACGTTAAATCACATCATGATATCCACTTGTATACGATGAAATATCATGCAAGCAGTACAAGTCACTAGAGCGGTCGCACTGAGGCCGGAGGATTGGACGGAATCGGCCCACAGTGAATGGTTCAGGCATATATTTCCCGGGAAAAAACATAGTTTAGTCACTTCATCCCTACAATATGTCATCTGCCAACTTAGTATATGATCAGTCAAAATTGCAAAATGATCTTGGTTTTTTTTTTTTTTTATTAATTATCCCGAATCAAACTGTAACAAAATAATATACTGTCCATAAAACAATACATAAACTACAAAAATCTATTTTGTTAAATTAATAATTTCTTGTTTTCGTTGTCAGTTTTTCTTTGCTCGGCTGGCATAGTTCCACCGACAATTAGATGTTCATTTTAGATGATTAAAGTCAACGTGATCTTACACCTTTATGGCTTAAAACTACATTCAGCCAAAATAGCCTGCAGGCTGGCTATCATGAGCTACTGCAGGGGAATCAAGAGTTTATGCCTGAAGCATAAATGCTACAAACTCCTGGTGACCACAAAAACCCGCAGTTCGTCTAAACGAGTTATTTATGCTGTCTAACTGCCTTGTACCTTAATACATTTTTAAAAATGCCTGTGTTGGTTTGCCAGCGGCTGGGGTTGAGTGGAGGTCACCTTTTTGCGCTACGCTTCTAAAAATGGAGTCATTTGAATGCATTGATTGTACTCAAAGCCTGCAAGCACCTGGCTCCAAGTGCCTTTAGCTATGGCCCCTGGAAATCGATAAAGGCTCCCTCACTGGCCCCTGGCATTGTTGCAGTCTCCTCTCGACATGCTAATCCATCACTCTTGACACACCTGTAATGTCTGTTACATCAGATCAGTGCTCCACTGGTTTCCCAATCCTCTTGGGCTCAGGCTCTTCTCATTCACACGGGTCTACCTCTCAGGACTCAGCATTAAAAATGCAGCCCAATCAGTCACCCTTCGGCAAAGACCCCACTACGCTCCGGCGATGGAGGCAGGAGGGGGAAAGAGGTGGAATTAAACCCTCAGGGTTCACGGTCCTGAGAATTCTCCTGGGTTCTTGGCTGGAATAACCTCGCGGCGGATTTCTGGAAAGTGTTTGCTCGCTATTCCCTGCAGACCTGTCCTTTCGCCACGGAGAGAAGCGCATGTGCACTCAGCCTAACAGCTTGCGCCCCGCTTCCGGAACAATCCGTTTGGTTCCCGCTGGGGAAAGCAGTGATGGATGAAGCTGTACTGACCTCACAGGACCATACTGACCTCACTTAACTCAAGGATTCTAATGTTAATATTACAATCGTGACTGGTAATTGACTGTAAAGGATTTATGGAACAATGGTTGAGAATTATGAGGCAGAAAGTATGCTAGAATACATACTCTTCAAGGGGTTAAAAAACAGCTGTCAAGGACAGAGACCTGCACGGCCCCATGGCTGTTCAGCTGTTACCAACATGTTTACTAACACCATATGAAGTATTGACTAGATTTGCAAACATTCCATTTGCATCCACTAGAACATGTTGTGAAGCAGACATCATTAATTAACATCAGTGAGAGTCAGTTACAGAGCTGCAGAAAGCTGTACAGGTATTGATTTCTCATGCACTGTGGACACCCTCGCAGGAGTGCCTTTTGACGGCTCTACGTAGTAACAGGTGGGGAAGCGGTGGTGCCGTAGTTGAGTGTTTATGATTTGGGATCAAAAGGCCTTGAGTTCAAGTCCTTGCCAGGGCTTTCGTGGTGTGTTCCTATGCAGAAACACTTAACTCCCACAACGCCTCACTCCACTCAGGTGCATAATTGTTTACCGGCAAATTTTCAAGGAAACCCGACTAAAAGCTGAAGTGTAATCTGCGATGGAGTAACATCCAGGGGGAGCAGCAGTACTACAGGTCGCTTCATGCTACAGAAACCAGAGTTAAGCACTAGCCTGATGGACCACATGGGCTCTGGACAGACGTTGCCTGACACAGGAACAGGAGCTATTTACCGTGCTGCTCGGAGTAGCAGGGAACCCCAAACACTAAAATGAGCACAACCTCTCTCTCGAGAGAGAGACCCGTTCTGGTTTCTTCAGGGTCACGCCTCGATGGTAACCCTAGATTTTCCAAATTCTCATGCAATTTGTATTACAGTACTGTCAGTACGAAATGCTGCCATAGAGCCGTGAGTAGCATTGCTTCTACCTGCTAGAGTTACGTCAATGCTACAGAACTTCATTTGAGAACCGGGGCAAAAATATTGTTATTGATAGGCTAGTCTACATGGAATGGTTCGTCTACAACATTGCACTGTTATAAATTGACCGAATTTTACAGTTAATTTAACACAGTGTTTTCTTGTTATTTTGACTGTAAGTAGAGTCCTGCGCGCATTAAATTGTAGTTAACAGTTAACATACACGGAACCACAAAATTGACTCGTGTCACTGCAGTGGTCCAGGTTTTGCACTCAGCCGAGGTTGATGGGGTATGGCTGTACCAGGCTTGACCGACAGTTTATGCAGTTCTGACCACTCCCAAGTTACGCAAGTGATACGCAGGAGCATGAGGATTTGAATAGTCATTTGCTCTCTGTTATAGACTGATTGTACAATTACAGTTAAAATATCCAACAAAAAAGGTGCCAATTAATGACAGTGTGTACACATATTAACAAAGTTTTCGTCATCACTAGACAACCACCTGAATAATCGGCTACAGTCACATTCGCTGTTGAAAACTACGGATGGAACCATGCGCAACCATTTGCTTCCCAAGTATGGCAGGACTCCATGCAGAATCAAGCGCGCATATGCGACACTTCCACTAATGCAGGTTCACCATCTGTACCATCTGAGCTTGTGAGGAT